AAAAAATGATACCCTACCCCAGACCCAAAAGCCAAAAAACCATACCCTATAGGGCGGCACATACCCATATAGCAAATATCGGGGTTATCCCCTCTCCAAGTCATGATAACTCCCTATATTATGGAACTAATGAGTACACATATCTAATATTTACCAATTGGCTAGATTCATATAATAAAGCAACTAGCAATGAGGTCCAAATTGTCATGGACAACTCAGCTCCATCAAGGGATAAAACACATGTGGAACAAGCAAAAGTGACATCACAAGATTGTGAAGAGCAAATGATAACTGAAGACGTCACCCCAAGTAAGTTACTGGTCATCAAAGAGTTCTATTTTTCATGATCAGCAATTCTCTATCAATACCCTGTCTGTAAAGAGGTACACCAAGTTGTCTCATCCACAACTTATTTTTGGGGCTAGAGGTATATGGATATTTCCTGAAACTTCTCAAAATATATTCCTTTCAGACCCTCCCCACCCCTAATCCCCCTCCATGGGGAAGGTATGGGTATTTTCAGGAACTACACAAAAGACCCTCAACACCCTTAGGAAATTCAGACCTCCTACAAGCATCAATATAAATTCTGCAACTGCAAACCTAACTTGTTTACTTCATTGATCATAGTATTGAATGCATCCATAAAAAGTCCTGGACTTAGCAGTAACCCAGTTTCTCCCAAGACTCTGACCACAGAATCAGAAAGTTCAGATATATTCAACTTCACTGAGTACAGCGAAAGAGTAAGGTTGATAAACAAGTCCCCAGGAGAAGGATTCTCTTACCCAAGTCGACGGATGTTTGACACGGTTGAAAACATGGTAAGAAGAAGTACCTAACTCTTCATATAGGGGTCATTCAGTATGAAAATATGTTCATAAGGTACCCCTTGCATTATTAGATCCAGAAAGGAAACATTGACTAGAAATTTTGTGTCATGGTTTATTAATATAAAAGATGAAATTAAGATAGAAAGTTAGAGTGTTATTTTCAACATATTGTATAGCAATTGTTCTCTCTTTCCCAAATAGAATGAAGATTTTGACAAGTATGAAACCCTACCAAAGCAATCTCTCTTTCAACCATTTTTTGCAACAAGAGAAAATGAACCACACCAACAGGTACTTTAGATTAGAAAGAAATAATACAAATAATTTTCCATAGCAGTTTCCAAAACTTCAAATGCACAATATTATGAATATAATTTATTCAACATTTCTTATCAATATTATATTAACGATATTGATTAACAATTTGTGCATCACTACTTCACCTGTAAGTTAAAATAATATCTATCATACCTGTTTTAGAGTAAAACAGAGTGTTAATGTTTTTTCTCTATTAGTTCACAGGGAAATCTACCTTTTTTAGTATGGATCCTCAAAGCAATCAAGAAAATAGGGGTAATGAAAGCTTGTTCTTTTTTCTTAATTCAGTTTGTAAAGCATTGTCTTTATTATCCATAACCTTGCCCTCTATACCTTCCCTAGTCTTATGTGATGTACAATTTTCAAGTTATCCCTTCCTCTCACTCTAACAACTTGCTATTCTATGTTTATTCCTATACATATTACTTCAACAAACTTTATACTTGACCCCTTTTGGCAAGGTAGCCCTCAATTGCACCAGTTTTTCATATTGAAGAGAGAACTTAAAGAGATGAGCTACTCTGTGTGTATAATCTATCAGTACTTCTGTCTAAGCATTCCAGATTGGAACGCAAAACAATTAGATAGCAATACATGTATCTTTAGAGCATACAATGATTATTGAGGAGTGTTCAAACTGGTATTTTATCTTATCTCATGGGGTACCATACTATGACTATGTGGATTTTGAAGCCAGGTGAATAAATTGCATTTTTAACAATAGATTAAGAATAGAAAACATACCCTCTCTTCATCTCTTTTGTCCCATGAAACTAAATGAAATACTGTATATATAACAATCTTATCCAAGAAAGAAATTCCTTTCATAACCCATCTGTCCAATAATTGCAACAGATCTCTCATTTTGGGATTAAAAATAAAAAATAAGATGAATTACAAGTAATTTAGATTTTAAAGATAATATGTAACACAGAACTAGAATTGACTTTTGGAGTGTTTAAAACTTTTTATTAGTAAAGTATTTATCTGATTGAGACTTCCTTGAAGAACGGATGTACTCAAAAATATACAGACAGATTGGCACTAAATAATTAATACAGCCTCCCTTATATCTTGCTGTAAGCTATCATTTTGAAAGAAACTCTAGTTAACACAAAGATGTTGTATTTATTTTTAGTTCAACAGGGACAACCTTTCCATGTTGATAGAGAACAGACTTCAATCCCAAACAGCAGTAATCTTTTTTCCTCATTAACCCCAGGAGAAGAATGTGGAACTTCCTCAGGTGTTGGATTTTCATTGTTTTCTGACCAGCCTGCTGCAAACCTTGGTCGTCATGGTAACCAATCACCACAATCACCTGCCTTTAGCTTCAACTTTTGTAGTTCACCCTCACTTTCTACCGAAAATCCAAACAACAACACCGGGACCTTTAACTTATTTTAAACTGCTGGACAAAAAGAAAAAAAAAGAAAAGAAAAAAGAAATCTCCATCTATTTTATCATATGTTGGATTCCATTTTCAAGACATTGATTGTTGATACTTCTTGCTATTTGTTGAGTGCATTCCGTTAGATTCGCATTAACACCTTCAAATAAAATACAAAAGTATTTAGCCTGGAGAGTTGGCTTATCAGGCAATATTATGTTTCTTAGATACTGTAAAAAGCCTATACTCTTTCTTCCATGCACTCAAGGGGATTTTCACATCATGTCCTTTTGCTTGAGTTGATCCTTGCATTATCTGTCAGTTTGGTGGAATTTGTATAAATTTGTTATCCTCAGTGTCGTCATTTCCTTTTCATCAACTTAGAAACGGAAATAGAAGACAACAACTGATTGGCTTCTCGCTAATCACCATAATTGACCTTTACTTACGTGCTGGGTCGAGTTCCAAACGTCTCAAATTTTATATTTATCAAAACAAAAAATGCAAATGTGTTATCTCGCTCTTCAATTAATTCATAAACACATAAACATTGATCAGTGAAATTACCCTAAGCCTTCGTGGATTATTTCAGATCTTTTATTCTGTTTGTTCAAAACCACAACTCCATAAATTCCTTTGGCGGTTTTGCGTAAAGGGACAGCGCGCGCGTTCCTCGAGTCTGTACACTAAAATGTGGAGAATGTTACCTTCTTGACGTTTTTATCGGATGCTAAAGATAAGGCCTAAAACTACCAACCCAAATAAATTCTTTTAGTGAGTTATACTGTTAAACTGAATAAGCTCAGTCAGATTAATTCCTCTTGACAGCCAAAAAATCGGAAGTACCGACTTTGACTGACCTCAATAGAAGAGCGTTGTCTTGCTTTTGGCACGGTATTCTAAATTCTTCCTGACACAGACCGCAATCGTGATTCCATCACACTTGTATCCTCATACTGCGAAACCAAAGGATATTGAAAAGTATAACAAAACTAAGATAAATGAGTATAGAGTTTATTTGTAAAGAAACGTGAATCTGTTAAGATCAAAAGTAGTGTTGTCTCTCGCTAATAACTGAATGCGAGGCGCTGATTGGCTCGTGTGTACCATGTGATTGCGCATTGATTGACGTGTAACCCATGAAGTGAAGCAGTACTTGGATCTGATGTTGGTGTGGTTGAAGTTGATTCAACATGGAAGAAACCAAGGTTATATACCACATCGACGACGAAGATACACCGTATTTAGTGAAACTAGGAAAACACCCTGACATTGTGACTCTTGGGGATTTCAAAAATGTACTCAACAGACCAACCTACAAGTTCTTCTTCAAGAGTATGGACGATGATTTTGGGTGAGTATTCGATCCAATGAAAAGTTCTTTATAGAATGTTTATGTTGATCGCACACGCTAAGACGTCTTGATTGTGCTCTAATGCTAACTTTTTTTCTACCGAGTCGAATTCTAACTTAATAGAAGATGATTTGTGGTTGTTTCGAAGGGGTATCGGTGGGGAATTTGGTTCTAAATTCGCCTGGAGTAGCGCATATTATCAATGCATGTCATAACTTCTATCATGAATTGCTCAGTGCGTCTCGCTCGTGGCCCGCTGATTAGATTCCTTTTGTCTTCTCATGTATTATTTCCCCAATGCTTGTTTTAGTAATTTGACTTACTTTAGTTTTCAGCCAAGTAAAGATTCTTTATGTGCAGTAGAACGTAGATAAAGATTGTTTTTGCGCTTGTAGTTGATAGCGTTGCTGTGTGTGTAATCGATACCTTTCTTGCTAATTTCAATGTACTTTGAATTTGCAGTGTGGTCAAAGAGGAGATAAGCGAGGATGAAATGCGTTTGCCCTGCTTCAATGGAAGAGTCGTAGCTTGGGTAAGACGAGCTTTCCTTTCGATCCAAATCCTCTTTTGTTTTCACCTGATTAGCGTTCAACCAAACAGTTAATAACCGCGTTCACGTAGGCCCTAACTAGTTCTCTACCTCTCTTCCATCCCATGAAAATTACAACACAATACGGTTTCTTTACTGAAGCCATTATTAGTTTTAGGTAATCATATCATGCGCGGACTAGATTATGAGGTTTTTCCCCCGAATAATCAATGACTATCGAAGCCTTTTTGTCTGTATTTACGTAACTCTTCGTGCGTCTGTCTTGTCTCTGCCATTGTATAGAACAGACCCAGCACAAAAATGCATCACAGAGTATATAAACACAAGGCTCTTTGTTTGTAAATTTGTTATTCCTGCAAAATCAAATCTTGAAGTTTGTTGGTTGAGCATAGCTATTTTATTGAATTAGCGGGTTCCAAATTCAATGACTGCTTTCAAGAAAACCTCCTCTTACATGTACCACATCATTTCCTAAAGACACGTTATCTAAACCAACAAGCAAGAGATAATGAAGTTTTCAAAAACGACAGCGACATTTATTATTTATCTTAATAAGTAAGAGTTCCTATCGCGCCAACTCCAATCTTACTGTGATCAGATACTGATCTACTTTCCCTACTGGCTAACGCGTTTAGAATTGAGCCTCTTTCCACGTCGACGACCGCTTTAATCCTCCATGACCGAATCTGTTGTAGGACTAGTAGCTAGAGTCAAAATAATTTCAAATTATAAATTTCTAATAATGCAGCTGCCCTAGTTTTGATTTTCGATCCATAATGAATGGAGGTCTTTTCTTTCTTTATACACAAAAATTGTTATCATTGATTGTGCTAAAACATATAAACAACGAGTCAAAATTATATGGTAGAATATAGGTTGATTATAACATGATCAACATAATTAATGATTATAGTACTGAGATACTTTGTAAGCATGTTGCACCAATAAGACCTAAAATTTTGGATTTCATGATTGAGAGTGTGATCACAATTCACACGTTCATTCTAATCAGTTGTAGTCTTACTGGTTGTTAAGAAGTATGTGTTGCTTTTAAATGGATTATCATTCCAAGCAGGTGAACTATTTAGGTGTCCAGTACACAATTAGTGCTCTTCACTATGCATGGCTTGAAACAGACCTCTGTCATGAGATAAAGGCTAAAATACTAACTCCATTAGTACTGCATTTACATTTTACCTGTGCATCTATTCAAGACTTAGCATCATCCCTCCTCTTCTTTTGTATTCTTCTCGATATTACAAAGGACAGTGCTTCAATAATTGGGTGCTGTCAATCAATCCTATTTGAATATCAACAACTACTTGATCCCCTTGAGAGTACCTATATGGGCTTTTTTATTATAATACTTACTTTTAGCTAAGCACCATTTTTCTTTATGGAGACAAAAGGATTAAGAATCTTTAAAAATGTATTTCCTTCCTTATGTTTGTACAGTGTTCTTCTTTGTTTACTTCTGAATGTGTATCTAAAATAATAATCCAAAGACAGTTCACATTCTCAAAGACTTGCTGGATGAGTGTGCACTAGTTATGAAATTTAAGATGATCGAAGTAAAAGAAAGGCTTAACAATATTCATTAAGAACTAAAAAGCTCTGACGAAGGGTAGCTTAAACGATGTTGGGGTTTAAAAAAAGGTTTTCCTAATATTGAAAATTTGTGTTATGTCTTTAAAGTCAGATGCTTCTTACTAAAATATATATAGTTTACAAAATATTTTTTATGCAATAAAGTGGTGGATTCAGGGTGATTTTTGGGGTAGGCAGTCCAATACCTAGATAGCCAATATATAACTACCATAGTAAGGGCCCCTTAATCTGCTCTTGCATTTTGGAATAAAACACTATTAGAAAACCCTAGAAACAACTGTTAGGTCACAGAGACCAATGTTGGGCTTCTGATTTCTAAAAGATTTGATATCCAAGTTGTCTCTTCAGCATATTTAATCTTTTTTAGTATGTTGGTATTGTTTTTGAATCTTTGTCCTATCTTCAGCTGCCACTATAGGGTTTACCAGTTTTATGCTATAAACAACCAAAAAAAAAAAAGATATAACACTTAATGTTATGTGACATTCTTCACTAAAATATTTGCTTGATCATAAAAAGGATAAGGATTTTAAAGAATGTTATTAGATTTAATTTTTTTGTCCAAAGTTATCTTCAGAAATTCTAATGTTAACTCAGTCATATATATACATATTTAAATCCTTAGTCTTTTTATAATCTCACTTAATGTAATGTTTTGTTGCTTTTTAATATAAATATCTGGAAGCAGTTCTGCATCATATTTATTGTTCTTTTCTTCTACTTTTAGCTTGTTACATCAGATAATAGTAGTATATCTGGATCTGGAGGAGGAGATCTTGCATTAGACCAACAGTCTATTTTATCAAGTCCTTCTGATCTACATGTACCTGTACAGAGAACTGTTGGAATCGGAGATTCAAGACCACCATCTTTTCAGTAAGTATCTAGTTGTATGGAATCAGGGGTGGCTTAATGGTAGTGTACTTGGCCCTCTCATAGCTAGAGTATCAGGTTTGGTTCCCGAACTTGGAATTGAATAGAGATTGTTAGATCTTTACCAGATTCAAGGTTTTTTCTAACAGTTTTCCTCCCTAATCAAACCTAACGAACAAAATTCTGATTCAAATTGAAATTGAAATAACTAGAGGTTTTATCAGAGTTCAATAGAATTTGAAGGTTTTAGTCTGTATATTGGTGACACCATATAAAGCATTCCTGTTTGAATGTATTTGCTCATCAAAATGATTAATTTGAAACTAAGTTTGACATTTTATGTAAATTACTGCCTCAAGTTTCCATTAGCTTGAAGGATAATCATGATGAACATGTACTATTGATATAACAATTTTTAGAATAGTAATATACTAACACTAGCTGTACTAGTCTATATTTGTGTTTCTTTTCAGAAAACTTTGTTTGTTTTCTTTATTAATTTGAAATCATATTTAAGTCGCTCAATTTTATATGGAATGTTTTTATTTCCTTTATTTAAACTGGGAAGCTAAATACCTATAAATTTCCTTACCTATGACTGTGTACATGTACAGCTCAAATCAAAGTTATAGCTCAATTCAAATTAAGGGTTCTGTTTTGATATAAGCTCGAGCTTCATGACTGCAAATATAGGATATTTTAGCAAATAAAATTCAACTGAACACCTCATAGTGCATTATGTTCATATACAGTACAGCTCAGTTGAATTACTCTGTTTTCATTGATTTTTACACTTGTATTTTCTTTAATTAATAATTACAGTTGAGCACTTATTTTAATTGACTTCCAAAAAAATCATAAACAATAATGTACTTAATGAATTCGGAACCTAAATAACTACATTTCAAACATGGGCACCACTGCACAAATAAACTCAAATATTCAACAAACTAAATGGAATCATCATTTTTCTTATAAGTGTACAAATAAGAGGTTTTATACTCGTATATTTATTTTTTTCATTGTGTTATTATCAATTAAGTACTTATTTTGTTGACACTTGCGCATGTCCATGCTAATTGATTTTCATGTTTCTGATAGCTCTTGTTTATATTCATTTCATAATCACATTCAAGTTCCTCTGTTTCCTCAATAATTGCTTATTTTAGTTCCTCCACAGCTGCTATCCAATTGTTTTTCTTAAAATATAATCCACAATATTGGCGTAGTGTTATTAATCTTATGTTACAAATATTGTAAAATGTAGATTTATAGAACTGCCTCTAGATTCATAAACTCTCATCTTACTAAAAAAAATATAATTACATAATTACATGCAATTTTTTTATCTACCATCTTGTTGAAAAATTTAGGTGTATTTTAAATGAACAACAATATTCAACTAATTACTTTTGTTTTATGTAAAACAAGTCATTATGATACACATCAAAAAAATGTATTTTTTATCATGTAATTTTGTTTTGCCTTTTCCTACCTGGAGCATACAATCTGTAATTATTAAAATTTGAGCAGAATATAAACTAGAAAGAAAATGACTAATATGCCTATAGTTCTCACTCATAACCGCTTATAATAGTATTAAGAGTTCATTTTAATTTTTGATATGTGTGCGTTGTGCTTAGCTGAATCACACTCCTTATCTTGTTTACTAGTCTTCTTTTGCTGCTATTTGCATAAACATGCGAACTCGGTAGTTGTGAGTTGCACGTTGAGATTTAATTTTTCACTGCCATCAATCAAAACAAATCAGTCAGTACCTTTGATATTTTTGACTGGCGGCAACAAAAACCAAATTTCAGAGTGCAGCTGTTTACTATGCTAAAGAAAATAACAAAAAAAACATTAAATGTTCATGTACATGTGTGTTATGTTGTGTTACTTAAACATTTTTGGATCAAGATATATTGTAACTTTAATTTTCCTTCTGTTATAGTCCAAATGGAGGTCATTCTACTACAGGCGACTTTGACTCAGAGGTAGACTCTACGATAAGCTCTAGAAGAGGAGGATCCAAAAGAAGAGAAAAGCATAATAGTAGAGGGAATGAAGGTAATAAGGGAGTAAGCAATGGACCTTTTCGGCTTGGGTGTAATGTCCCATTTCATTGTCATCCTCTTGAGAATAAGATTCTGTTACGGTTTAAGCTGAACATTTCTCTTGGTGTACTATGTCTTAAAAACAAACAAATCAAGTGTCAAAAAATCTGCTCATTTATTGTGCTATTGCACATAAGATGCATTAAAAATTTAAAAAATTATGCCCTCGTACAACTTATATGGTACTTATAATTAATATATTGTTTTCTGTGGTGATCTATAAATACTATATAGTTAAGTGTAGGCCAAATCATCTATATTATGACTTTAAAGACCTAAGGAAATTAAGTTGTGTTCCAGTTGAATAATACAAAATATATCTGAATGGAATATTTGTTACTTGTGCTTCAGGTGGAGGGCACCCTCGACATAGGTCTGGTCCAAGACAACCTGGCGAAAGGTTTGATGCCACCTCTACTATGAGTAGTGATATTGAATCAACTAGCTATATGGATTCTTCAGACGATCAGAGCAGGTAAGGGTATCATTAGCAAGGGAAATATAGTGTAGCAATACCATATTTTTGTGGTACTGTATCTAAGTCTTTCACAAGATTAGGAAGGGAAGCTATGTGAGTCTTATTGCATGACATACAAAACATAAACAATGGAAGTTAAAACTATGCCTTTCCAACTCATAAAATATCTCAAATACAAGCTACAGATTGGAAAAAGATTTCTAGCTAGTGCATATAAAACTAGTGTGACTATATTTTTGTCCATAAAATGATTATTGAGAGAAAAATATCATATATATATATACAGTATATATAATATATCTTTTTGCTGTAAGTTAAGATGCAAGAAAGTACTGTAGTTTTGAGGTGTTTTAATTCTTCCAAATCTTCTTAAGAGATATCAGAAGAAATAACCCACCTAAGCTAAAAATATCAAAATCTATCCCACCCAAGTCATAATCTGGGACATTTAAGTCCATCTTAACATGCAATCCTATTGTTCCTCATTAAGACTGATTAAAGAGCTTGCTTTTTGATTAATTCTAAGAAGATTTACTCTCTAAGTGGTAGTGTTGCTGTTGTTATAAACCAGACTCTTTCCTTTACTTGGAAAATTTTTCTCAAAAATTGAATTTAGATAATATTAACATTGGGCTTTTCTTGCTAATAAATATGATACTGTATTTTACAGTGTATCAAGGTTTTCAAGTACGACAGAGGGGTCGCATCTTTTAAGTGGTCGACATAGAAGAAGAAGAAGAAGACCAAGGATGCCAAGAGTTCAAAGGGTAAGCTAAACTTACCATGATAATAATAATTATCCCTAGGAAAAGAACCAGCACACTACTTAATAACTTATTATGAAGACAATATTAAATATAATGCAGCCATGTTGTAGAGCAAAATGATAAAATCTTCCCCTTTAAAAAAGGAAAAAATTGCTTTTCTTAAATTCAAAACCATTGCATTTTTTTCTGCTGTACAACACGGCTGTCACAAAAGCCCGCTATTCATTTATGTGAACACAACTCATCAGCTATACTGTCGCCATGTCTTAACTTTAGTTTAAGATTCCTCGTTAATATGTAATAAGGATCATTAATCGAAAACTTAATTAAATGGCAATTGCAAACACTATTTTTATTTCATTTATTTATGAGAGCAATAATGAGAATTTCAATATCAATTACTTTTCAAATCTGTAAAACAAGATTTAATAGATTAATATTCTAGTCTTGAGTGTTACAGTATTGCCTAAATTCTGAAATAATTAATCTCTAGAATCTTTAGATATTACCATCTAAGGAATAATCTTACATATAGGAATACCAAAAATATAGCTTTCAAAATCTCATGATTAATGAAACATCCTCCTCACTGTCATTTTCATCCTTCCTTCTTTTCCTTTTTTTTCATTTGATACTTAAGTATTATGGCACCAAAATACTCACACTAAAACATCCACAGGCTAAACATAAACTTTTTATTAAAATCAAGTAGCTTTTAGATCAAATTCCATTCATATTTGACAGTATCACTTGGTTTGTGGTTTAACAAAGATCAATGGTCAAATTCTGTTTGACAAGTTCAAGATCCTTAGACACATCTTACTTACAAGTTCCAGACATGCAGCTCTTGCCTTGATTATTTTATTTTTTGTAAAAGCAAGAAGTTAATTCTACTAATAGATTTTATTCGTCATGGTGCAATGTTTTCCTGTTACAGACCATGTGTCATTCTAACGGTTGTACATGAGAAGACATGAATATGGGGATACAACTCAAACAAATAATCTCTGTAATGGGATCTGTAATGGGAAAGCATTACAACACAATGAATAATTTTTATTCTCATAGATTTAAGACAAAATTATAACTTGTGACCATAAACAGTTACAACAGTTTTTATTTCCACAAAATATATATACATACATAAATTGAATAAGTTACAAATATTGTGGGGGGTGCAAGAGAACAACCTCAGAGGTTAAACAAGCTCTTACACCCTTAAGACGAAAATGAGTAATATTTACATATATGTAAGATGGGAAGAATCATGTAGTACAGTAGTTTTCGTAGTTGAACAGCTAGAAATTTCATAAAACAAAATAAACGTACAGGAAAAAAAATTAGTTCAGCCTTCAAGAGATTTTAAAAGAATCAAAAATACAGCATTTCTCTTTACCTCGCAAGATATTTGTATTTGTATAAGGTTTACTCATGTCCTACAGGAATGGGCAGAGAAATGTCTTCTGTACACCAATTACCCTCACATACTTTACCCTTCACCTGAGATAACAACAGCTGCACATTCATGTACTTCCTAATGTCAGGCTTAAACAATTCCATTTACCATGATATTGTTCTATTATTGACTTGTAGCTTATATAAATTGCATTGCACATATGGAGATATGGGTTGTTTACTTTGATAGCACCAACCTATTCATTACAGTCTAGACTACTTTTGTCCTAAATAAAGCTCCTAAAAGAGCTATAAGATTAATGGTGTCAGCTAACTTTAGGTTTAAATTACTAGAGATTTTATGTATGAATAGTTTGAATTAAGTAAATGCCTTAAGCCCAATTAAGATGTATACAAACAGCATTTTACTTTTCACATAGTTCGATCATGTTGGATTAATTTTTTAGTAAAAAATAACAATTTTAAAAGCTTTTACATTACCACTAATATATGAAATTCATGTAAATCCATAAAAAAAATGATAAATGGCTTTCTTAAATCTTAGAGAAAGCTTTATATGAAATCTGTGACTCTTGGAGTTGTAAAATATTTAAAAAAATTTTGTCTCAGTAAAAAAAATTTTTTTATTCTTTTTTTTTTGTGTTTTTGATGAATTAATTTTTTTCATTTTGTATGTTCTAGTGTTCTTCCTTCAGTACAATTACAGAATCAACTATGTCTTTGAATATCATTACCATCACATTGAACATGGGTAAGTTAGCTCTTCCATGAGGTTTGCTCCACACTTTCTACCTTTAGTGCAGTTTTCGTATGGCTGTGAAAAGCTCAGTACCGTAAGCGTGACGTGCCGTGACCGTGATACTTTCTAGAATTTTAATTGGCTGATTTTTTTCATGTGCAATATGATTGGCCTAAAAGTGCCCTGATCTTGGTGTGACCGTGTCCGCGCCATGTTTAAGCTGTTTTCAGGGTATTTGAGTGGATGGAGAGTAAATTCTTGTGCAGTGTGACTGGTTCGGCATATCCTTGCCGTGTCACGACCGTGTTCATTCAGTGATCTTTTCACAGTCAAACGAAAACTGCACTATGTTCACTATTTACGACATTTATCTCACATATTGATTTTCATGGAGGAAGGAAAACCAGAAAACCTAGAAAAAAACCCTCATGACACGGGAGAAACACATCAGACATACTGTTGTTTAGTTGAGAATCGAACCAAATAAAAATTATACAATGGTATAGTCTGTGACAAAACATTTGCCAACCAAACACACTCTTGCCAATGCAACCTTTTACTGGAAATTTATTAACCAACCATACTGGCCGACAATGGATTTACAGTAAATATTTAAGACAGTGTGATGTCACTAAACCATGGCCACTTAAGTAATTGTTTTATTATTTTTTCATGAAAACAGAAAAAGTGAATTTCCTTGGTATAAGTATAGTAGGACAAAGTAATAAGAGAGGAGATGGAGGTATATATGTTGGATCCGTCATGAAGGGGTAAGTTTGTGTATACATACAGTCAATGCTATTAACATTGTCCACCGAAAAAAAGACATTTACACATTTAGACTAAAAGATATGTCACATGTTTCATTATGTATTCTTTGCCTCGCGTGTGTCAGCCTGAACTTTAAATGTAAAATTCAACTCGTGAATCGAAAATCCAGAATGCCCCGACCATTTAGTGCGGATTTAAGATAGAGAATGGTATATCAGCATTTGTTTTATGCCAGAACGTTCGAGGAAACATGTGATATTTCTTTTAGTCTAAATGTGTAAATGTGTAAATGTGTAAATGTCTTCTTTTGGTGGACAACGTTAATGACGTTGACTGTATATGAATACTATTAATTTTGCTGTTTAGGCTTGATGTTTCTGCTTATCTGGTATTTTCTATGAACTGATATACTTAAGCTGAGATTTGATTTTTTGACATTCTTTTCTAAGATCCTGCTACCTCTCCCCTCCCCTCCTTCTACACCATCCCCCTACTCCCTTACACACACACACAAAAAGTTCATTTCAATAATTTGAGTTCTGAAAATATTGTCAGTGTTTGAAATAGTATCTTTTTTACATTTCAGTGGTGCTGTCGATCTTGATGGAAGAATAGAGCCTGGAGATATGCTATTACAGGTGAATAACGTAATCTCTTCTTATCATTTGGATTTAGACTGTAAACTTTTTTTAAAAGAACTTTTCATTGCGCACATCTAAGTCTATTGATCATTCTTTATTCTTTAGGTTAATGATGTCAATTTTGAAAACATGACCAATGATGATGCCGTTAGAGTTCTAAGAGAAATGGTCCATAAACCAGGGTAAGAATGATCTCCCTTCAAATGTAATCATATCTGCAAATGAAGATCCTTCAAGTTTTTTCTCCCCCACAACGGCTTATACAATGCCTCTAACCACAACAGTTGTGTCTGTGATCCTTGAAGCAGGCAGCATGTGAATAGATCTGGTTTTTTTGGGTCTCTAATTTGTTCTGAAGGGTTTACTTGGGCTTTCAAGTTTCCTTCTCCCAGGTTTGTTTGACTAATTTGAGGCTAATTTGACTTTATCTTTTTCAGACCTATAACTTTAACTGTTGCTAAATGTTGGGATCCCACACCAAAAGGATACTTCACATTACCACATAGTAAGTATTAATTATAAGAGCATGGCTGGTATATTCTGCCTCCCACTACAGTCGATGGTTGAATACTCAGGACCACTGTTACAGTGCAAACACTATCGCGTAAACACAAACTTTTTTWAAAAAACGCACAAAATATTTGATATTTCAAAAAAAAATTTTTGTTTAAAATGAAATCAGCTTATGAGCTTTTATATTATTTGATAAAAATTTTTTTTGGAAATTTACCCACGAAGGTCTCCATTAACCTTAAGTTTGTTTTAAAAAAAACCCCACCCATACTACTCTATGTGTAGTACAAGCCAAAAAGCCCCATGTAGTTTTGACCTTTGGGATCTATAGTGCATGAAGAGTTAAGGTTTAAACACTAGTATTAGGCTGTTAAGAGAGAAAAACATCCTGTTGTCAATTTGACCACCAGTATGTTCAAGTGGATGTCATCTAACTAACCCTTAACACACAATGAACCTTTATGTAGGAGAGTTCATAGTACTCTCTACCCTGTGTTCTAGAAGACTTGATCATTAACGTATACATAGTTGAATGTTTCACTGTTTGAGAAAGGCGTATAGCTTGAATGACACTAGCACTAATGTCTTAACAGAAGGTGATGCTGTTTACCAGTTATATCAGACAAAATAACTATAAGTTAATACACAACTTGCTGTTGGACTAATACACAACTTGCTGGTGGACTGATACATAACGTGCTCTTGTTAGAATGCTCTAATAATGTAGAATACATGTTTATCAATATATACATAATCCATTGCTCTTCTATAGTAATACTAATATTGTTGACATTTGATTTACTAGGCGATCCAGTTAGACCTATAGATACATCAGCATGGGTACAACACACAACTGCAATGAATCGTGAGTATACCACACTACCTCCATGTCATAATTATTCATATAATATTATCCACATTTATGGCCACATTCATCTACATATTTATTTATTACTTGATCAGAAAGTATCGCGTTAATATCCTCAATTAAAATCTTCGACTTAGTTACCTATAGAGGTTTTGCACCATCACGTTCCCATCCCATAATATAGCTTGGGCTGCCCGTGGTTAGATGGCAGAACGATAAAATGAATTTACTCTTGGGAATTGAATTATTTCTCATGTAAAACGACTGTATTGTTCCTGCCATGTAACATGGCTGCCGTAAAGTGATGATGCAAAACCTCTATGACGTTTTGTTTCTGAATCAAGACATGACGATGGGTAATTCAATTAAATATGTCATCTCAAAATTCAAAATTTAATTCAAAAACGGTTCTAGAAGACTTTGACGTTCAAATGGTTATTGTCTGAATATTTCACTCCAACGTTAAATCTTTCCTTTTACCAGTTTATTTCAAGCATAAATACTGTATGGCGACATTTCTGCTTTAAACTCAGTTAGGATTTCATATATTGCAAGCTTTATAGGGATCTGAGGGATAGGAGAGATTCCGCTATACGTTCTATAAAGGACAAAATATATTTCAAAGTTTGTAGGCCAGGGGTTGGTTGTACGAAGCCTGGATAGAGTTATCCAACGGATCAAATCTTATGCAGTGAATAAATTTATTGGTTAACAGCATCGACTTATCTACTGGATCGATTGGGATTTACCCGCTACCAATGCTTCGTAGAACTGGGCAGTAAGATCGATTCCCTTCAAATCTCGTGTCTAACTCCCACGTGGTTTCTTATTTCGTAGAATTTGCTGCTCAACAAGTGGCTCAATATGGAAAACCTCCAAACAGTCAATCACTGAGCACGATGACATCGACAAGTTCATCAATGACAAGCTCCTTACCGGAATCAGACAGTGAGTGCCCCTCATGGACAACCATAGTCCTTATTCTATTCTCTACTTAAAGAACCGCGCGCGCAAAGCATTGTTGTTGAAGTTAAAGGCCTTATTTATAGCGAATGTTGCTTCAGCTAGTAGCTGTTCTTACAGGGAGCTGACGGTGCGCACTTACTCTACCCCCTCTCTCCATCAGTCTCTGTTTTAAGAGTATTCAAAGCTAGCTGCCTGCATGGCTCTCTGTGAAAACTGGGGGTCCAGGCGTGCAGCTAAGGCCGCCTTGATGATGATAATGATAAAAGCTGAAGTTACACTGATTTGAGAGTAGTCAACTCAGACATGGATATTCCTAGGATCTAATCGTTGACTTTAGCTTCGAAGGCCGCGCACTAACTAACTGAACAACGACTGCTCCAAAGTTTAAAACTCCGCAGCCAAGATGGCCGAAAGCTAGGTCGTTAAAAACTTGACAAAAACGCAGAGTAATCATTATATACTACATTAACGATCTTGATGCTTGTATACCACGGAATCTCTCGCTTCCTGATCATGTGACGGACAAAACATGCTAATGGGTGTCATTGCGGGTCAGCATTGCGCAGATTACGTTGTTTTCTGCATACCTGTAAATGGAACGGAATGTAAAGGGCGTAGTTCCATTCAAATGTGACCACATACACATCTGAATAAACAAACCCACCCAGTCCCATTTCCCTCTTCGGTACTTCAGTAGTAATCAATCATCCCAAACGCAACGCGGTGTTCTCTGTAAAACCGTATTATGATAACTAACAATTGATCGATAATCGATGGGTCAACCCTCGCCACACGGTATCTTCTGTAACATGATATAGCTGACCCTAATACTTCAAAATCCCACACTTTCATGACTTGATTTGAATGCACCCATCAAAGAAAGTGTTGAGAAATTCCATAGTGTGAATGAAGTGAGAATATTCCGATAGCCGAGTCCCTATTTCCCGTAGGGATTATAAGCGGATACACATATTATCGCGCGCGTACGTGTACAATATAAGGTAACAATGTCAAGAAAGATTAATGACATTACTATGGCGTGTTATACATGCGTTATTCATTTCCTAGGATTGTAGTGCTAGCGCACTTCAACTGAACATCTTTTTAATGCGTTGAACACCTTTGCAATACTATCTTTTCTTTGAATTTGGAAGCACTGTCAGTAAAAAATGACATATGGGATGAACCAGGTGATTTGAAATCTAGACATATTATTTGTCACAGCAAAAGCTTCCAAGTGCCTTCTATTATCTCTTGATAAAACGAGATATTTTCCACCAACGACGACAAAATTTGATACTTCTAAAAGTTAATTGGTAAATCTTTTCACGGATGTGTTTTATTTTCGAGTTAAAGACGTTTTTTTTCGAGCCGAAAACTTGGAAATAGGAAATCTTAAAGTAAGAACAAAACGTTTGCTGATTGCCCAATTCGTTCTGCCTGATACAAATGAGATCACCTGGAAGCGAATGGCATATGCTTTTAAATGAAAAACCTTAGGCAAAACTTCATTAAAACAACCAGTACCTATTCAACAATCAGACATGAGATAGAAATATGGTACCCCATGGAAAGATGAACGTAATCCAATTAGGTCTGCGTATAATCTGCTCAAGACAGATGGATGTGTACATTCTTTGTACTGATCTATTGACATCGGGTTTAATTCACTTCATTAGTAGCTGAAGATGTGATTCCTATAAGTAGGATAAATGAAAAAATCCCGACGATTCCATTAGGTATTCGTTATAAGACATTCATTGGGTTATCAGAAAAGYGCAACCTCTTATCTTTATCTTTGGCGTTTTCAGCTCGATATGCATTCAACTAATTGAAGCCTGCAAGTCATTGGTTAATATGTTTAGTTCTTCGAGTGAACAGACTCGTTGGCGTGACTGAGTAGTACCAGTCTTGAGTGGTTTATGAGTATAGGCTTTAGAAGACTCGAGATAGCTTTTAGGCGTGTCTCCTCATCTCTAGAGTTTTTCTTCTCTAATCTAATCATGCAAAAAATATAACTAGGATGTATGACCAGCGATATGCCAGATATTGCTGGTTTTCAATCAATCCGAAGAGGATAAAATAAAAAAGGAAGCTGCGGCCATGTTGGAGGATATGACGAAAAAGAGGAATGACGAATCGTTTGTGAAATTTATCCAACATGGCGGGTGTGAAAACCATCAACTATTGCATAGTTACTACACAAACCGATGTTAATCGGTATAGGTTCTCTTTGAGGCAGAAGATTTTGCCCTTTGGCCAATTTACAAGGGCATTTAACCATTAAGATCATTTTAATGTAATAACCGTTGATGTAACACCCTTTTTTGATGACAGAAACAACATTTACATTGGTCTGGCTTGCACAAGACATTGCTTTTAAACCATTACGGTGTTGTGTTACCGCTAATGCCATGGGTTCTTAAAACATTCTTCGTACCTTTGGTTTATGATGAAAACGTCTGCGCATACTATAAAAAGACAGATGCCAACGTTTTTAGGTTGCTATGGAAAATTTTCATTCAAAAGCAAAATTTCCCATTGTAAATGCTTGGTAAAACATAAATTCCCGTAAGATATTACTTTCTTTACATTGCGCACCGTCATGCAACACGATCTCCACCACAGGTTTGAGGAGTTTTGCTGAAAAGTAAGTGCGGTGAACTCAAACAGAAAACAGATGTCTTAAACAACAATGCATTGCGCGCCTGAAATTGCAGCTTAATCATCATTAATCATCTCCTCATCATGATCATCCACATCGTCGTCATCACCATCATTGTCTTCATCATCATTGTCAACATCATCATCGTCGTCATCATCATCATTATCCACATCGTTATCATCTCCATCATTGTCACCGTCATCACCATTGTCATGATTACCGCCAACGTCATAATGACATGCTAAAAATCTAATCATTCACCGTTCATAATGATAAACTGATAAACTAATAATATTCTTTCATGTCTGTAATACCTACTTTTTGCTAGCAGGATATACTGAACTAGGAGAAGGAGAACCACTCACATTGAACACAGATATGGTCACAGTTGTTAAAGCCATGGCAGCTCCTGACTCTGGTCTTGATATTCGAGACAGGATGTGGCTCAAAATCACTATCCCTAACGCTTTTATAGGTAAGGCTGAACCAACAATACCTTACTATCATCGTTGTCTATGTGTGGAGGGATCGAACAGTACAGGGGTGGATCCAGGGGAGGGGTTCAGGGGGTAGTTCTACTTTGTGCCCCTACTTCAAAGATAACCAATACTGTTTTTCCTTTTGATCCTAAGGGGTGCACCCCTCCCTGGGTTAACTTTGTGCACAGCACCCCTCCCTTAACAAAATCCTGGATCCGCCCCTGTGTCTTAGTTGTGCGCAGTCATCTCAAATGTGACTTTGCATTCGGTTTAGACTCCCTCAACTGTCACTTAGGAGATAAATTCGAATTGCTGGTTTTCAATCATTCCCAAGAAAATAAAATAAAAAAGACACGGCGGCCATGTTGGATGATTGCTAAATTCATCCAACATGGTGGCTGTGAAAAATCATCAATATAAAAACAATTTACTGTAATAGAGGTTTGACAAAAGAAATAATCATTATCACTTTGTGCCCTATAGGAAAAGGAAGCTATTGCCACTATGTCTGCTTGACTAAGTTCTTGATTTTTACTGTTTTTATTTTGTGCCACAGGTTCAGATGTAGTAGATTGGCTGTATTCACGCGTGGAAGGATTCTCCGATAGACGAGAAGCAAGGAAGTATGCGTGCAACTTGTTAAAGGTAATTGTTAATTAAAATATTCTCCCATACTTCCGCATTTAAGCCTTCCTAGATCAACCCTTACAGAGATTCTTTGTCTAACCACTGAGTGGATTTTATCATTAGTAGGAAACTTATTGTATTGCCTTACATCACGTACACGATAGTGCAGTTTTCGTATGACTGTGAAAAGTTCACGGCACGAACACGGTCGTGACACAGCAAGGGATACGCCAGACAAATCACGTTGCACGATAATTTACTCTCCATCCAATCAAATACCCGGAACACGGCATAAACACTGCGCGGACACGGCACTTTTAGGCCAATCATATTGCGCATGAAAAAAATCAGCGAATTGAAATTCTAGAAAGTATCACGGTCACGGCACGTCACGCTTACGGCACTGAGCTTTTCACAGTCATACGAAAACTGCACTAAGCCTTTTCTGATTTACGATACTGAGCAAGTTACATTCTAATCTATCTTGGGCAAAAACCATACATAAACGAGAGATTTTTTTAACCCAGTCTAGAATAGAATATACAGCTTATTCGCTGTGTTGGGTAAGGTGGGCGCTGTTGTATCATAAGGTCCATCCCTAGTCGAAGAAAAAAGACAAATTCACGAAAGCGCATTAAAAGGGCAGTGCTTTGTGGACCTCAAAATACTTTCTTCTGCGCTACTTTACACGTAACCAAATACCTAAAAATATCTGTCAAGTTTAAATTTATTGATTTCCCCTCTAGCGTCACGTTTTCCCCCATGCTGTTTGATTCCTACTCTCGGCTTCTCCGACTCAGCATGTTTTGTTTCCTTTCTCCTCTAAAAATCTTTTTTGAAACAGCTTTATTTAGCGCCATGGCGACATCTCGGCGACTAAAAATGTTTTGCGGTGTTAATCTTCCCCTCACAGGAAATGTGCTCTAATCTTGGTTTATGCTTTCATTCCAGGCTGGATACATCAGACATACTGTGAATAAAATAACCTTTTCTGAGCAGTGTTACTATGTGTTTGGAGATCTCTGTGGAAGTAAGTCCCTAACTGTTCACCATACATTTTATGAGATATACGCCACAGTGCTTACAATAGACCATTAATAATTGTGGAGGAACTCAGCGATAGCAACTAAGATTTGATTTTTGAAGCCGAAACAACTAAATCAGGCCCGAAACGTATTTTCGTGAGGCTCGTACTAAAACTAGAGGTTTCGTTTCTTATTTTAAAAGCCTCTTTCATTCAGTCAAGTTTTAGGACTTCAAAGAGTTGTTTTAATATGAGTAGATTTCGTGTGAGTGCGGAAAAAAAACCTTCGGTACAACAACTTCCGTGTAGGTGTCGTGACATATCGCACCGTGACTCATCTGTCTGATTGGGAGATCGCGTTACCTTGCACTTTGATATGGTAAGCTAAATTCCTAGTGACAATTTCACACTCATACGCAATCTACTCTAACCTGTGCCTGTTTTCTTAGTATTTCGACTGATAATTTGAATCTTTGTGTATTTAATGGGCTGTGTTTGCAGAGGAAGAAGTTCGTATTGACCATGAAGACCTAGGGTGACCTTAGTTTCCATTGGCAGTGTATTTGTAACAAACATGTGTTTAGAGGAGGGGGGGTAGAGTGGGGAGAGGGTTTGGGGAGGAGAGGGAGGGATAATGTTTTGAGGTTTGTCGGCATAACCTCTCGTGTGAAAACCTAGATATGCCATTTGTATATTGTGTTAGAGTTGTTCTTGAAATGAACTTCTTCCTTGTAAATTAGCCTTACTATAACCTCCCTTCATCTTGTCCATACATAAATCAATGTTCTAAACTGTCATTCAGTCATCTTGTGCTTCCTTCCTTCCTTTTGTGCGTGAACTAAGACTTTGTATATTCGTAACATTTTAATCCAAACGTTTGTTATTACAGACATGGCAGCATTGAGTTTGACAGAACATGAAGGTGACCAGGATACGCTGGGTCCCCTCCCTCCTCAACAACACGCTATCCCATGGATGACCGGAGGACCTCCAGCGTATGGCTACCACCAAATGCCATCATATTCACAACCAATGCCCACTGACCCCAAGAATGTAGGCTACGCCCATTCTTTCTATAGTGGTACCAGCGCACACAGTGGAAGTCAGAGCCCGCATAGCGGAAGTGGAAGCTCAAAACGCGGTAGTGAACGACAAGCCGATGAACACAGAAGCAGTGGCAGCGGTAGTGACCGCAGTGGTAGCAGCAAGGGAAAGGGTAGCGGCCAAAGTGTTAGAAGTGAAGTTACTGCACCTCCATTAGTACCAAATGCACCACGCCCTTTAGATCAAGTACCCGAGAGCATTGCTTCAAGCAGGAATAGTTTTCGAATGGCCATGACAAATCCTTGTGAATACTTCGTGGATGTAATGTGACGAAGCACAATCTTGGTGAATATTTACAGATTATCTCTGAATCTCGACTTTACTCGAAAGCTGACCTCAGCAGAGTGTAGAGTCTAGTGCTTACTGCCACAGCGCCGACCCAACAAACAGTTACTGAGAGAAAATTAAATGAGGGAATGACATGCGATGTAGTAGGTAAAGACACAAATTGGAACCATCAAAATGGATGGTAAGGGAGATGTCTTGTAAAATGGTTTCCGTCGTATGGATAGAATCTACTAATCATTAGCCCAGACGTGGTCAACAAGAGACAGCAAGGAAACGCTGGAAAATATCAATATTTTCAATTTAAGTTTATTTGAGTTCTTATTGCGCTGAGTATTATTGCATTGAGCAAACAGACATTTTGGTTAAAACAGACATTTGTTTTGAATATTTTTATTATAGGTCGTGTAAATAGAACCAGAGTGCTATTCAATGAGTTCGTGTACAAGTAGTTGCGGTTTATTTAGCACAGGTTTCGTAGCAGGGGAACGTTAAAGTGACTCTGAGATAGCTGAAGGCGTACTTTTATCTACGCTATTGAATAGCGCAGTTTTTCTTCCGTTTCGATTGGTTCAATAGAAAGCTATTTTAAAGTAACTCGAATACGTTTCCAATTTATACGAAATCCGAGCTAGACCGTCAATGGTATCAGTTTGAGTTAGTGGCTGACCGGTTCGTTCAGCCACGCTTTGCATGTAGGGATTTCTATGAATTCACCTATCCCAGAATGGATCAGGATGTGGTAGTAAAGTCATAGGGTAACCTGACGATATGTAGATATAGAGATGGAATATCGTGTATAGTATAAAGTACGAATATATTGTATCTGAAGTAGACCATGGCCATTGTGACCATTATCCAAATGTATTAATGTATGTCCACCTAAGAGACCACTTGTTTGACTGCAATAACTTGCCCTGTTTTGTACATTCTTATTTCCAAGGTCTTAAGTTTTTAATTTTAATCTTAAACTATAGGAATTTGAAAAAAGGTATTGGAAGAAATACATCTTGACCACCTAAGTTTACGTTATTATTTGTAAATTTAAAATATAGTATGGTGATGTCAGATATATTGTCAAAAAGTGAAAGCAAGTGTAAAAAAAAAACTTAATAAATTGTTAGAAAAAGTTATCTATTGTTTTAGTTCGGGAAGGAATATCCTAGATGATAGTATTCAAGAGCTTTTCGTTTTACTGATTTCTCTGTATTTTCTCTTGTCGGATAGAAAGCTACCTTCGATTTACAGTAATTTACAGCTGTTTCATTAGAAACACCGACGCAGCTCACACTAGTTTTTAGCTAGTTATCTCTTCTTACCTTCGATTTACTATGAAAACGTTTTCTTCAATAACTTTGGTAAAAAAAAAATTAATTAAATTTGCTAAATGTCCTCCACAGTTATTAATGGTTCCCCATACTATTTGGAAGTCATCTTGAAAGGCAACCAGGTCTATCGAGGCTTGGTCACCTAGTTTCCAAGTTAAAACCAGCGAGCAAAATAGACAACCGAAAGGCCAAATTAAAGTTCAGAAAAATCCAGATTCATAAACATCTTGATTGTGCAAATATTTTTATTTCGAAAATAATAAAACTTAACATTTAACTTAATAAATTCAATACTCTTTTTTTACCGGAGCATACAGTATGCTCCACCCTCTTAACCATAGCCTGCGTTTCGTCTGGCCTGTGGCGAAGAACGAGGCAAGAAGAAACGCATGCTCTGGGTACGAGATTGAGTAGGCTTCTTCATTCTCGTTGCTGGAGCGCATGCTCCTCGTCGTCTCCGCTGATGAACAATGGGTTCTGGATTAATTAACTGCGGTTGTTTTCTGTTTAGCTAATACAAATGAATAAAACCGGGGCGTGGAAAAGATGGATCCATTCAGTCTGGTTCACCAGAGCCCCTTGTTTCTTTGCGGAGTTCATATCAGGAAATAGAATAAGTATATGCTTGCCTGCGGCGCATACATGATAGTTTCCAGGCCATGCTTTAGGTTGGTCCCGCGAATCAAAATTTGTTTTCTGGTAGAAAAACATGAAAACTAAACTAAGGGAACCGGCAAGCACCACTACACGCGTCCCGAATCCTTTATTTTTCGACGGAGCCCCCACCCCCCCATAAAGTTATTTTAAGGTGCCGTTTGTTACGAGCCATTATTTTAATGAAGATAATTTCTTGCCAAATAAATGAGAAACTTTCGAATCTCATTTACTCCAAATCCAAAAATTGCCTAGCGCTAAGTAGGTCTTACCTACATTGATCATTTAACCAGCTTTGCTTATAATTTCAATACTTAGATTGTTGTATTTTTCTATAGATATTCAATAGAAATTCGAGAAAAGAGAGAGATTGCGAGAGAGACCTACATACGCTTTATCACCTCCGACTGCCGCGCACATAAATTCTAAACATATAATTAAGCAAAATAATATTAAGTGGGTTCTATCTTGATAAGCAGCGATGTAAGCACCACCAGTTCCTTTTCATTCAAATACCACTCCAAGTCTTGTGTACCAAGATTATGATCAGACAATGTCTCATTTGTATCTGCACAGCACGAAGAAGCTTGCCCAGTACTATACGACCCCGGCTTCACACAGACGCGAAACGCAACCTGAGCCGAGTACGATTTGCCTGTTGTTACATCACGATATCTAATGATGACATAACAACACATCAGTTAGAATTATGACGTCATTTATTGTAAATAGGACCTCACTCAATCCCAGAATGCAAGTCGGGCGTTGACCGACTTTAAATAATTGTTAGTAAGATATAGATATTAATAGAAAGTTTTTAGATAGTTTTATAATTTTGTAAGCATATGATTTTTAGGAAAAATAGATATTTTGAAAGTTAGTATTTTTATAGTTCGACGATCAAATTCAGTAATCTTCATTCGTATTCAGACGTGTTATGAACGAAAAGCTCCAGAAAATGAACAAGAAATAATGTACCTAAGGTAGGATAGTTTTTTCTTTCCATGAAAGTTATTTATTTTACTAGAAATATTACACAGAAAAAATGTGCAAGACGTGTCGAGTAGGACCGAAAAAATATGTAAATAAGGGCAAATGAGGGCCGGGTCAGACGTCGAAGTTTTAATTTCACGTTTAGAATTTTTTAGGGTCAAAAAACGATAATATTGTGTAAGAATATTGCAATATCTCCATCCTATCGTTGCGCGATAAAAAGAGCGCAATCGCTGCGAAAAATAAGGCCGACTCTACTTTTTCGCAACGGTTGCGGCAACGTTATATGAACAATTATAAGAAGGATGTTACAGTAGAGAATTCTATCATTAAACTTGTCGCACAGCATAACAGTATAACAACCCCTTAGAGCGCTTTACATGTTCTCCGACTTCCGTGACTTCCAGAAGTCTGAATTTTTGGCTAGTTCTATTAATCAAAAAATCAGTCTCAATCTGTTGTTAATGTGATAGACGGAAGCGTCTGGAGATGACTGGGTGGTAGGAACATCATAAGTGCTGTAAAAAATTCTAACCCAGTAAAACTGACGTCTGATCCGTACCTAACAATATATAACATGTGTGAAAATATAAATTTAAAAAATATTAATAAAACAATTTTCAGAAATATTGATTTTTCCATGGCTATTAATTATCGATTAATTTATACACAGATTAATCAAATATCGATTGACTTACTGATGCGCGGGAGCCTGTTTCGAACACGTGACACACATGACTGTAGGTGATATCATTAGCCGAGGCACCTCGTTTTCTTTGTTGGAGTTAGATTTGGTCCTTCGGCGTCCACTTCCTGCATCTTAAATACATCTTAAATATTAGCAGAATGTATTGTTTTTCTCGTACTTATTTTTCCTTATGCCCTCTGCTTTTCCACCCACTCACACACCAATCCTATTTCCATTCCTACTACGCTACGCAGTCTACGCAGACTAATCCTAGTCTACGTTTTTGTTGTTGACGGTAATTTTTCAAAAGTTTGGCGGGCGCTCACAGGGTCCCGATACCCCGCATTTCTCATGGTGAGTAACAAACTTGGTCAACTGGTTTAGACTTAGTTCTAACTAGTTTAAAATTTTGTGTCTTCTTATCGAAAGACACCCAACACCCAGTTAACCCAGGCCCTCTCGTTTCATTGCGGAGTGTGAGCTCTGGGTACGAAAACGCCCAAAAATGTACGCAAATTGATCTTCTAAGTACCTGGCATTGGAAGATCGCCTACATCGAGAATTCTTCGAATTTTACCAATTTGAGTCCCGTAGAAAGCTACATGCCATTTTTCGAGCACTTGTAACGCTTTTATTCTTGGTGGAAGACTGCAAATAATCCACATAAAATCATCTTCAAGCTATGAAAATACTAGTAGCACAAACAAAAGAAAGATTACTTACCCGAGTCCAAACTGACACCATCCAAGAGGTTGCGCATACCTCCTTGCGGGATCACCGCTGATCTCATATTGTTTTTCTCCACGCGCCTCATGACATGCTTGACAGTAACATATATTGAGCTTGGAGTCTTGATTAAAATAACCATCTGGGAAAACCATAAAAAATTAGACGGGTTGATTAGATATTCCACAGGTATTCCAACTTAAGTCAATGGTTTCACAATCACTACAGCAGATTTTCTGTTGCTTATATTTTGTGCGCAAAGCGCTTAGTACTGTACTATATGACCGTGCTGAGGGATTCTGATTGGGTGAAAAGTAACCTCGCGTGCTATGATTGGTTCAAAGGACGTAATTCTGTAATTCTGTTCCTATTTTTCCCAGTCAAAGGGGAACCCACTCTAATTATGAATACCTGCGACTACCCAAATTTGAGACCCCAAGACCAGAGAACTTACCAGGTATGGCTAGACTTGCTCGAAAACGATCGCACATCTGCCTGTAATCACAAGGACCTTTCTTTTGATCTTCTACAGAAAAATGGACTTTCATTAAAACTAGATAGAGTCACTGAGGCGAGAATCGCCTCATAGTAAGAGTGAAGGAGAAGAGAGGAGAGGAGAGGAGAGAGGAAAGGTCTTCAGTGCGATATAGTTGGTGACGTACCTAATCCTTTTGGAGTCTTATTCTCATCCTTTTCTTCACAACTTGAATGCTCCTGGTCAGCGGGAGTTACTATGGATACCTCTTGGCAACAACCATAGAGGTCTACAACTACGTGACGCTTGGCTGGTAAGGCCTCAGCGACCGCGCCTTGGTCCTGACCGTTGATGACTATGTGGAGCCTGGAATCCTTATCTATCATCAATCCTACAGAGTCTCCGACATGTAGACGATCCAGCCCCGGTTGAAGCCCTTCGAATACCTTTAAATTAAAAAACACAAATCAGGGACGTTTCTAGGACTTCCCTAGTCACGCGTCACGCTGTCTCACAAAGCGTTGCGTGAAAACCTGACTAACAGCAGCTGTGTATTAAGGAGACAAMGTTGTAACATGAGGGGAGGGTTGGAGGCAGTAGAAGTGGATGGTAATAATAATAAATAATAATAATTTCACTGTTATATCAATGCGCTTTATGTTTATAAGCAGTGCAGGACTTTATGGGATGCATATTAAGGTGGTATTAGCGACCGTGCAGTGAATTATAACTATTATGGCTTCAAATTGGGACAAGCTGTACGATATTACTGACCTTGTTACCATTGATATACACAGCATTATTGACTACTATCCAGGGACAGATCTTCATACAGTTAGATATGGATGGCAAGCTGATAGACTCTGGATCTTGGTCTGTGATGCCGATCATCAGAGAACCTGACCAGCGGATATCCAGCTTTGTTATACGAATCTGGAAGGAATGGTAGATGAAAATTATGATAGTGCTTGCATCATGGGATTGGAATTTGTTATATATAAATGCCCTTGCTAATCCATCCATCCAACCATCCATCCGTCCATCCGTCCATCCATCCGTCCGTCCGTCCGTCCGTTCCTCCATCCATCCAACCATCCATCCGTCCGTCCATCCGTCCGTCCGTTCCTCCATCCATCCAACCATTCATCCATCCCTAACCCCCTCCTTCCTTCCTTCCCTCCCTCCCTTCCCTCCCTCCCTCCCTCAACTATAAAATCACAGATCACTATCTATTTTATAATAATATCCTAATAATCAACAAGTCAAGCATACCTGGAATAATTCATTGTCAGCAAGGGGTGCATCACTGAGTACGACACCATGGTTATAGCTGGCCACACGACGGGCAAGCATTTGTTTATTATCAAGACGAACATGTTGACCACAGTTACTAGTGAACCTATGCCTGTAGGGGAAGAAAATATGAACATAAATCTCATGTGTTGTACTGCTGTTTCTCCATTAATCCTCCCTTCTTTTTCACTAGTTTACACGGGAGCATGATAAAAATGAAAAAGAAAATGATGAATTGAAATAAATTTATTCATTTCTTCAATCGAGAGATTCTTGATTCCATTTTTCTTCTTATGCAACTTGTGATCTTACCTTGTTTTTGGTGCAGTTTCGTTCCCTTCAGACGTCTGTGACTGAGAGAAAGATCAAAAGAATATTTTTCATGTGTTATTTTTACCTACTGCAGCATCAAGGAGATTCAGTGGCAAGCAGATCCAGGATGTTTAGAAGGAGGGTTACTATACAAAAGGTTTTACCAGGAATTTGAGAAGGGGGGCGACTGTTCCTAACGATATACTGAGAAATCTGAGCAGAAGTCACACATTTTACCACCCCTCGCTCTGCCCTAGGGAGATTGTCTTGAGTCTAACATTAGCTTCAACAGTTCCCCTTTTGCTATGTTATCAAATTTTCAGTGTCATATGAAAGCAAAAATGAAACTATAGCCTTACCGTTTTACTTTCCAATGCTCTATCACTTTCAATGTTGTTTCTGGGCGATGGCCCTCTTTGATCTAGAATATAAGGAAAATTAAAAAATCAATTTCATTGACAAGTGGTATGAAAGGAGGGAATGTTATGCTTAAGGTAAAAAGATCTATTGACCGTTTTATCAAGGTTGTGTGCGCATCCAAATTTAAGGAACTTGACAGGCAAAGATACCAGAACGGGAGCTTATGATGATAATTATCATACATTTCTATGATTTTTTTACGACAAGAATTCTTAAAATCGATTATTCTCCTCTTTGAATATAAAACTGTCTTCTCAATTTTACTGAATTTGTGTTTTTCAGTTTTGTGGCCCGTCAAGTTTGGTGCACAGGCAACCTTGAGAAAATGGTCTATTGGTGGGTTGTAAAAGAAAACATCTCTCCCCCACCCCACCCCCCCTAGAGTCTGAGTATAATGCATATCATACCTGTTTGATGGACAATTGACACACTTTCCACCACTCCATATAAATCTACTAAACCAAAAACCATCTGAAATAAAAACACAAGGGTTTGTTAGAGCCTACTCCACTGTACTGGCTCCCTGACAGCTATAACACAGGGATCCCATATTTAAATGTGTTGATACAACATACCCTAGGGACATCAGGAGCTGCCACACCTTGATCTTCACCATTAAAATAAATGTGTAACGTGCCATCACGTTTCCTCTGAAGACCAATACGAGTGCCGACCTGAAAAATACCATGCCATGAAAATCTTAATTAGTGTATCTGTGACGTGCCATGACTACTATTATTGTCCTTAAGCCCCCCTCCCCTCCCCTTCCCCCTTGATGAAAAAGAAATGGAACATAAGCCATACCTGTAGTCGATCCAGACTGGGACCATAATTTTCCTTCACAGTCATACCATCTTTAAGAATGCGTGACTCTACCATTAGCCATGTCCCATCACGCAACTGGTCAGCTGAGCTGGGAACATTAGACATTGGAAGAAGACATGATGTCACGCCGACACTAAGAGACCCTGACCATTGAGCTCCTACTTTATCGATTTTGATCTACAGATAACAATGAGTACAGACATGTTAGTTTCAACACAAAACAGTGCATAGTGTTGCAGGATTAAAAAGCTAATTATACAGCTTCTCATTAATCCCATATAGGTAACTGTCCAATTATTTTCTTAATTGGACAGGTCTTGTTGATATGGGATTAATTAGGCAGCTATATAATTAATAGGTAATGGGATTTCATGCTCCCCAATCAAGAAATAATTAGACTCGAAAAATTCCTCTGACCTCCAAATTGGACTCAGCCTATGGCCTCATCCAATTTTGTCAGTCCTCAGAATTTTCCTCGTCCAATTATGGACAGCATGTAGTCCTATTACATATACTAATTGTCTAACCAGAAACTAGTCTCCTTTGCAGCTGTTCTAGTGTTGGTCCTGAACGCTAGTGGAGAGAGACTAGTTAACAGGCCAACCACCATAAGACCAACCTGTTATACCGACCAGCACACCACCTTATAGAATAACCAAGAAACACCCTATTAACCCATCATCTACTTGTTCAAATGACTTACCTCAAATATTTCGTCATCTTGTAAAGGTTTGGCACTGAATAAGAGACCATCGCTAAAACCTTTTGTTCTCTTAGCCACCCATCCTTTGTTAGACAGCGTTACATTCCTACCACAACAAGGATGAAAACTACTGGGAGCACAAGCTACAGGAAAAGGAAAATATATAAGAGAGTTGAACTTGGAATAGAACATCATAAAACCATTTACTAGCACTACCAGAATAGACCCGTTTCGAATTCCAAATTACCACTGTGTTTCTTGATTACAGACTCATTTGCACAGGGTTAGCCTCGTGTTTGTGCAGAATATTCACGAGTATTAAAGGAACACAGCGGTAATTTGGAATTCAAAACTGGTCTAATCCTTGCACACTATAAAAAGGAATAAAAAATTGAAACGAAAGGAAATATGGGAAGCATTTTTGGAATGGTAATGAAAAATTACACCATCGTACAAATGGCCTGTAAATTCCCTAGAGTATCATTTCTTTGTTTAATGGTTGCACATGAGAAGAAATATGAATATGGATACAACACTCAAACAAAGAATAATTAAATTCTCAAGAGAATACACCATGGTCTGAAATGGAGAAACATTACGCCCAAGGTAAAGAGGTCTAGGTTTATTTCATGCTGGTTGCTACAGAGAGTTACTTACCTTGATCTTTGTCATCATCTGCTGTGACTGTCTGCGTCTCGGCAGTTGTAACTTCTGTGGTGCTTGTTCTGCTGATGTAGTCCTCGTCATAAATAGCCAGCTGCACACATCTTCCATAAAGGTCGATAATAGCATAGATGTCTGTGTCAAAACCATTAAATAGTTAATAACACACACGCTTTGGATTGGTCAAGGGAGCACATTCAGAACATCAATATATGTTTGGTGTTACAGAATGATGATGATGATGACCGTGATGATGATAATGACCGTGATGATGATGATAATGACCGTGATGATGATAATGATAATGATGATGACCATGATGATGACTCTGATGCTGCTGCTGATGATAATGATGATGAT